GGGGGGGGGGGGGGGGGGGGGGGCGCAAGACATAATTACGTAAAAATTAATTTTAAACAATAAAGATAATATTTAAACTGTAATACTTTTTTTACCAACAGTGAAATACTAATTAATAGCACTTGAATGCACAAACCAAAGATCAAAAGCTGTCAAGACCTATATCAAAACATTTCTACCGAAAGAAGAAAAAGAGAGCAGTTACTCTTTCCATTCCAGTAAAAAAAAAATTACTGGATCCTACCAAGTGAAGCTAGTCTGAATTGACATAGTATAATTGATTGTATGTAAAGAAGTGGTCGAACATAATAAGAAACCACACAGAAGTTTTTATCAACTTTTAAAGAGATTCATTTTCTGATACACTACAGTTGATCCTGCCAAATTAACAAACTCTCAATGCATTTCAAAGCTGTTTGGAGTGCCCAGAACCAGAATAATCCCTTTCCAAAGTCCAATCAAACAATTTCATCAAATCTTAAGCCATTTTCACCCAAACAAGGAATAGAGTATGAACTAGAAATTCAAAGTTAGCAATGAATTTTATCAGTAAACATACATTAGATCAAACTGAAAACCATTAGACAACAATTACTTCATTAACAATTGAAACACGTACCATACCTTTGTTTGCAAATAGCAGCAAGCAATTAGAACCCTCTACAATTCCATTGCTTTATCTCTATGACTATATATATACATACAGGGAGAGAAACTGGCAATGTGAAGTAATCCAATAATAAATCTCCTCGTTAAAGCCAATAAGAAATCCGGTCGGGAGAACGCCAGTCGGGGAGAATCCCTTGAAAGTCAGTTGTCTTCAGTCGGGGAGATTGGAGAATTGGGGGAAATGAAAGGGATTGGCAATTGGGTGGGGGGTGGGGGGGGGAGGGAAAGGGAAAGGGAAAGGGAAGGGTTGGCTTAAAAGACTTGGGCTTTAGGTTGGGTGGGCTTTTTTTTTTCAGGCAAAGAATTGTGGGGGCAGTTGCCCCCACTACTGCCCCCACTGGGCCCTTAATGGGTCCGCCCCTGAAATGGGATGTGTGTGAATCTTTCTGTGTTTCAAATTGCAATTCAGTGGCCTTGCAATTAGTTGGATATTACGTACTCATTGACTAGTGACTACATACCTTGGACAGATAATTGCATCTGAAAACCAGCCAGTTCAGTGGACAACTCCACTTGGACTCCCTGTTGTCCAACCTTACCGGAAAGTAGGAAGGCATCTTGTAAGTGTTATTGAAATTGGGAAAATGTCATTTTCTCCTTTTTAACATTTATTATGGAGTCAAAACCATAATTTTCGTGTCATTGATTTTTGTGGTCTTCTTATTATGTGCAGGTTAAGACTTCTCTTCAGGTTTTGACACTGCAGCGTGAAACAGATAAGGTGGCTTGATAACCTCTCATTGTTTTTGTTTTTTATTGTCTATGAACCTGTGAATGTAGCTACTATGTTGTTTATCAAGATCATATATTTAAGGAATGCCTCAGAAGGAAATCTTGTCTTGCACGAGTACAATACATTGGCTTTTACATCTTCAGAAAATCAATCGAATGAGACTGCAACTTTGCTTTACATTTTAGGGCACTTTAACCATCCAACTTCAGCTTAAAATTAACCTCGGAAATGTTTGAGCTAATTAACTTCTTAAAAGCTCAAACATGTTTGACAATCTTAAAGTAACTTTTAAGATTAGCCAAACATGATCTATTATATTATTGTATTAGTCGCTGAGCACAAAACTATTGTGCATCTGAAGAATATAGGCTGATTTTATCTCTTGATTGTTATGCCACTTCTTGCAATTTTCTGAACCCACATTACAAAAATTTACTATTGTTTATTTATTTCAGATAATGGTCAAGAGGCAGAGGACAGCTTTTCCACCAAATTTTGTTCATTCCCTGGATGGTTCACATATGATGATGACTGCAGTTGCATGCAAAAAAGCAGGCTTGAATTTTGCAGGTTTGTCTCACATTCTATATGTTGATATCCTCCATTTCCGATCTTTGACCTGCAAATTACCTTACGTTCTACATTTGATTACAGGAGTTCATGATTCATACTGGACACATGCATGTGATGTGGATAAAATGAACAGGATATTGAGAGAGAAGTTCGTTGAACTATACGAAACACCCATTCTAGAGAATGTAAAGTATCTGGACATCCTCCACTTTTGAATTGACTCATTTTACTGGAAAAGAACTTTCGGTAGTCTATATAGGAAAGCACTACGTCAAATCAAATCAACTTTAAATGGTAAAAGATGCCATAAGAAGGGAAACCCTTGAATCGGGGCTATTTGAGCATGTTTGGCTTTGCTTAAAAAAACAAATGAAAATCCAAATATTGGATTCTATTGTTGCATGTAAGCAAAGCAAAAAATGCTCTTAATGAGTGCACTTGGTGCTGGGAGAAAAGAATGTTGACAAATATCTATTGGTTCTGGAAACAAGTATCTACTCAGCAAAATACCATCCAAGCATATAACTTAATTCATATCAAAATGAGCTTAAAGTTGAAACCTTGTGAAATTCTTGCAATTAAGATGGTGAAATTTATATATCACCTTTGTGACCAAAAGCTTGCGCCCATCATTATTTGGATGGCATATGTTCCAATTAACAATACAATGATTAAATGTTAATAGCATTTACTAGTTCCTACTTTATTTCCAGTGCACTACCATCTATTAAGTAGAAGATTTATTTGACATCTAATTGTACTGTCTTTCATTTGAACAGTTGTTGAAGAGTTTTGAAGAGTCCTTCCCTTCATTGTCTTTCCCTCCCTTGCCAGAACGGGGGGACTTCGATCTGAGAGATGTTTTGGAGTCTCCCTATTTCTTCAACTAAAGGAACTCGAGGTGTTTGTTGGCCTAGATGATATATGCGAACATGCTTCAATTAGCCTCCAGTGAATGAAAATGGCGACAAATTTGCTTCATCCTTTCGTTGATCAAGGTTGTATGTACATAATGCTAACAAATCTTTCTGTTCATCTTTAAACCCTGGAGTTTCTTGTACAGTCGTCAAAGAGATTCTACATCAAAGGTACTGCAGAATCTTCTCATACCTCGTAGTATGAGGTAGACAATACGAGATCCATTTTGTTTGGAGGAAGTTTGAGGATACGCGATACTTGTTCTGTCAAAATTTCGAGCTTTGCATTAAGTGGATGGATATTTATGTGATATCATTTAGCTGAACGAGTATTTGCCATAATCTTCTTGTTCAGGTGATCAACATTTGTATATTCTTATACTTGTAATGACAAATTTAAAGTTGGATTAGAATACCACAAAAAGAAAAGAAAAAAAGGTTCGAAATATATTATTTGTAGCTTGAGTGGACATGTATTGACCTGTTTTCAAATAATCCATCGGTCAAAGCTCAGATTTGTATTTGTACCATTTTACTGCTTCAGCACTAGCAGATGGAGTTCAGATTTTGGAAGAAATCAAGATTAAGGGAATGTTCAAAATATGTTATTTGTCGCTTGAGTTTGACGTTTATTAACTTTTTTTGTGCACGTGTTAAAGCTTAAACTTTTAAAACAAAGTGGTTTAATTTAACAATATTTCTCAAAAGTGGTTTAATTTAACAACATTTCTCAAGGAAATTGAATGGATTTAACAACATTTCTCAAGGAAATTGAATGGACCTTGTTTTGTAGACTTTAATCACACATTTTGTAGGACTCGCAACTTTTTAATAATATATTTCATTAATTTTTATCAAAATTTTTAGTACACTAACAGTGGCAAAAGGACTAGAGAATTTCATTTAAATACAGCTAAAACGTGGCTTTCATGTCAAACGATCAGGGTAAATTTCAAGTCTGACGATACAATGTACCACTCAGCTGCAAACACAAAGGCTGTCAGAAGAGCAAAAGAAAGGCTGGGGGAGAAACAGATAATCAGTCCAGTATATCCTTTATCTATGAACTAATAACCAGTCAGTTATTTCAACAAGTGATGATTAGCATTTACTAAACAAATGGAACAGCACATTGAGAGCAGTTCCTTTTACACGCATGTTCTTATACGATTCAGTAATAAACTGCACAACTCTCGATCTGCATAGCATTTTTCACTTTTTTCCTGAGAAGATGTGTGAGTAAGCACCTATAATATTAGTAACCAAAACGATCGTTCAATGAGGTATGCCCATCACCTGATTGACCTGGAAAAGCAAGTGGTACAAAAATTAGAATACATAGTCAAAACACATGTATCCACAAATTAAGTGCTTGTTTGTCTCCCATTTTGGGAGAAGAAATAGAGTTTTGAATAGTATTTTTTGGAGAATGTGTGGTTGAAAAGTAAAGTAATTTTATTGGTTTGTGTGTAGAATATTTTATTGAGTGAATATGTGGTGGAGATTGTTTACTGTAGCAAACAATGTTAATTTTGGGAGAAGAAATAGAGTTTTGAATAGTATTTTTTGGATAATGTGTGGTTGAAAAGTAAAGTAATTTTCTTGGTTTGTGTGTAGAATATTTTATTGAGTGAATATGTGGTGGAGATTATTTACTGTAGCAAACAACGTTTGATAAACATGGATGACAAACCGGGGCTAAGCACCTCATCAGTGAAGTGAAAGGTGATTTTTTACCTTCAGGTGGCATCCAAGAATCGTAGTCAGGTTCATCATTGAGAAATGATGGTCTCTCGGGACCCACCATTCTTTTAGGCTTTTTATGACCCTTCCTGTCTGTCTCAAGTGGCACATCTTCATTGATGGGTCTTGAATGTTTTAATAATAAAGCCACAGCTTCTTCTGCTATAATCTCAGCCCTAATCGGCTGTTCAGAATCTTCAACTTCACTAACCTTGGATTTCTCATCTTGCTTTCTCTTCCTTATTATTAGACCAGGGGCCGCATCTTCAATTCCTGAGTTAACCTGAGCAGAATTTGGATTTTTCAGAATAGTCTTTCTATCTTTGTAGTCAACAAACTGAAAATTCTCCTGTGTGTCTACTGTTACTTCCTGTGCGATTTCTTGCTTTTTTCTGTCATCTACGGCACCAAGCCACTGGGGCTTAGCAACACTATATTTAGCAGCACCATTGTCGGTTGGATCCGTATTAACAGTAGTTTCACTTTTTGCTTCATTAGTAACTAACTCTGACTCTTCAGACTTCTTGCCAGATTCTGGTACTTCATCTCTAATACCCATTTCCAGACTGGATCTATCCAACGAACATTCTGCTCCCGATCTTTTATTCTTTTCGAATAAGGGGCGTTTGCGTGAATCTAAAGCAGCTGAAACAGGGCTTTTGCTCACAATAGGTTTCGGCTCCTTCGCTTCCGATACCCTTTTCCTAGCAGCTTCTCCTGTAGGATCAGCAATCTTCAGCAAGTAGAGGATCCTATCCATCTCTGACTGGAGAACTGACAACTCCTTTCTAATCTTTTCTTTATTAGCAAGAACTGAAATCAAAAGAGAACCAACTTCTCAGGAAAATGCTCGATGGCATGTTAGTTACCACATAAAATTATGAATGCAGAAGATGGATAGATCAAACCACCACACAAGCTACTTCTTCTTCTCAAATTTTTCGCTTGTATGCAAATTCATAATGATTATTTTATTTTAACATAATGATTACTTTTATTACTAATGAACCAATAATTATCTTTCTGTGTGTACTGATGAGTTTTCGTGTGTAACGATGAATTTAGTCAATTCACTCAAATTTAAATCAACTCGTGCACTAACGAATTTAATAGCTATTGGTTTCCATTTTTATAGTAAAAATACATTTTGAATAATAGATTGATGGAGAAAGTGTAGTTAAAAAATAAGAAAAAATTTTGAATTTATAATATTATTTTATTAAAGAATGTGTGATTAAAAAGAAGAGACGGAAAATAGGTATCAAACAATAGCTTAATCAATTATTATTTCACCAGAGGTTGTATGAATCTCTTTGATTTACGTATATGATGACCATAATGATTAAATATTCTGCACTCATGGTGTTAATATTATTAGTCATACTCTGAACGTTTATTGATTTGTGTGAAGGATGATTGTTGAAAATACCTAATTAAATATTTTTCTTTCTTTTACAAATTTTACAAATTATGAATGCAGAAGATGGATAGATCAAACCACCAGAGGCTCCCTCTGATGATCAAAATTTTCAATTGTTTGGGCCAGTTCAGATTCCAGACAAGGATGATAAATCTTCTTTTTAGGATATTAAAAATATATTTCATGGGAACCTTTTTCCTGTATTTTCCTACAAAATAATGGAGCCTAGCCATTCAAAAGAGAGGACCCTTATTTATCAGAGCACATTATGAGGGTAATAGCATGAATATAGAATGCTTGTTGAGTGTTAAGAGGTGCCAATTTTCCTAGGATGCTAAGGCATGCATCAGTGCACCGAATTAACTAGTTCAGTTTTCAAAAAATACAAAATACAACTTAAAATAGAAAAATAGATCACTTTCATGAATGACAGATTTGAAAATCAGGTGACGAAAAAATTAGATAAAATGTTCACCCTACAAAGATTCATACCTAGCTGAGATGAAACTGCAGTCATGTACGCATCAAGTGCATCTCCAGCTTCAGCAACCTCATTTGTCTGTGCCATTTTGTCCTCATCCAAAAGCATTTTTTCCTTTTCTTCCATCTCCTTAACAATCGCATCCTTCTTATCAAGAAGAGAATTGGCAGTTTCTATTGAGTGGTTTTCACCACTTCTACGTTTGGAGGGTTTCTGTGTCCGATCATAGAACTCATCATCATCACTGTTAAGTTGAAAACAAGTAGGAAGCAATGCATCAATTCGACAGATAATAAGGTTCAGATATCAGCTTAAAGTGAACCATAAACCTTATAGATGAGGAATTGAACAGAAAAACCACTACTTTCATGCAAATTATGCACTTCGCATCAACCGTAATAAGAAGGTGATGCTTAATGGTACTCAGATTCTTCTACTTGAACAATAATTATCTTAAAGACTAGCTTAACTCAAACAGTATCTCTCTTTGGAAGTACCTCATATAGTCGTCGTCGTCATCTTCCGTTGCTCCCTTTGTCTTACCATGGAACGTCCTTCCTGCTCTTGCACCTAAACTTTCCTGGATACTTTCATTTAAAGTCTCTTCCAAATTTTCAAGTTCTTCCACAACCTAAGAAAAAATTGAGCACTTGAATTACCAAAAAGATTCAATTTAAAAATGTAATTTAAATTATAAGCAGCAAGGGCTGCAAAACATGTTTTATTCACTTGCTAAGGAAAAACAAACTTATTTTTTTTGAAATGTGTAGAGAATGAGCAACTTTTGTTTCAACACAGAACATAGAGTTGAAGGAGGTAAAAGAAGATGAGAGGGATAAAGGGTAAAGCTGAAGAACTCCTCGTTCTATGCCTTTTTTATTGATACAAGTCATAGTTGAACGTGTGTTGCACGTTATTCTGAAGGAGGTAAAAGAAGATGAAAGGGATAAAGGGTAAAGCTGAAGAACTCCTCATTCTATGCCTTTTTTATTGATACTAGTCATAGTTGAACGTGTGTTGCATGTTATTCTGAAATGCTTTATAGGTGCTATAAAAATAATATTGTAAAATGTGAGAATATAAAGAAAATTTTTACAAATTGTTTGTGGAATGAACTTTAGATTCAAATGAAATAAAAACCAGTTTGTGAAAACAATTTAAATAGTTGAGGAAGTCAATTAGAATAGTCCATCCATTTACATTTTTAAACTGATCTAAGCATCCATGAACATTATCATTTCTTCATATTCACGTAACGTGCATTAAATATATCAATTGAAATTATTTATTATAGATATGCATTATATCCCCCCATTTACCTTCTCTATATCTTAACATTCATTAAATAAATCAATTATAAGAAAACTCTAAAAAAATTCATCTTTTGTTCCAAAAAAATTAATTAATTTAATTTACTATCCAATCAAGTGGAATGAATATGTTAAATGTACATTAATCATAACTAAATACTTGACAAAATAATTCATGATAATATCGTTCAAATTATTAAATAAATCAAATACATATTGAAAAACAAAAAGTACGATAATGAATGTGTCAAACGTACATTCATCATAACTAAATAGTTGACAAAATAATTATTGATAATATTGTTCAAATGATTAATAAATTAAATGCATATTGAAAGACAAAAACAAGATATTATTGTAATAATTGAATTATATCCCTTGTTTGAGCCCCATTTTTTCAAAAACTCATTTTTTCAAAACTCATTTTCAACCATACATTCGTTAATAAAATAATTTCACGTAAATCGAAAAAAAATTTACTTTTTAACCAAATATTCTTCAAAAACTCACTATTCAAAAATATACTTTTTCTTCAAAATGGGGCTCAAACAAGGACATATTAAGGATAGAATCGTCTATTATTTAAATAATTAAATGCATATTGAAAAATGAAAAGTAAGGCATTATTGAAATAATTGAATTATAGTAAGGATAGAATCGTCCAAAAAATGATTCTCACTTGATGTGATATTTAATATATTATAGATTATACCTGTGATATCCTCTGTTCATTTCGAGCAATCTGAGTTTGTTGTCCCTGTGTCAACCCACCTTGAGCAATATCCTTGGCCCGAATAGCATCAATCTCTTTCTTCATATGAGCAATCTACACACAGAAGAGTTCGACCATTAGTAGCAAGTAGAAACATATATTTTGTAAACAATTTCTTTGCCAAAATAAGTTCCACACTGTGGAGCTGCAAAAGCATTGAAGCATTTTTAAACCAAATAAAAGCATTTCTAGCCCCTCAAGAGCTTCAGATGCACGCTTCCAATGTTAAAGGAACAGGTGGGGCTTACCATTCATAGTGTAAGTACGGAAACACCCATGACCATAGTCGTGGGTAGAACACGGATGGCATACTAGAAATTTCTGAAGTTCATAATTTAGCGTATTTTTGTATAGCCAAATCAAATCAGAACATGTTCGTATATATCAGAATACTAAGCAATCAGAATAATTACATAAGACATGCTCAAATACTTTATTAAGCAAGATTATACGATACAAATAAAAAGCAGAAAAAAGAGATCAGGGTCATTCAGATGCCATTAGTTCATTATGAGTACGTATATGATCTCCACTCAGCCTAAATTATGGATTTATAAGTGATAAATCTCAAGAAACTTCAACTTTTCAGTTGAAAAGGTGTAATATCACTTCAATTGGTACTCGATCCAGTTTGCAATGAATGGCTTCTATTGTTTGGGATGTTTCAAAATAATGTCGAGACACCTAAAACTGAAAACTTTTCACCCTGCATTTTTACAACATATGGACCATTAATACAGGAAATGGTAATTTTTTGTATGAATAGAGAATGGTAATTTGTTATGGTGGATATGTTTTGGAAGGTATTGTCTGCATGATGGCAGGCTGGAAGCTACTTGGAAGTATTTGAGTATCCTTGCTTTAGGAATTTGCTGCGATAAAAAAGCAGATGTGAATTGGGGATTCTGATTTGTTGGCGATGATAGAGGTATGCTGGTTGAGTTGTAAGTACTGGTGTCGAACTGCGAACTTGCAATTTGATGAGAGAAGGGCCAACAAGGACAGAGAAACACAATCAACCACGTGCAGTAAGAAGGATACTGCAAAAGAAGAAAATTAACAAGTGAAGCCTTACGGAGATGATGTGTCAATTCATTTTAAAATGCACAAAGTACATGTAAGGGAATCATATCCTGTAATGTTGCACAGCTGTTCAGTCATCTATGATAATAACATAGTCCATTGCCTTCCACAAAATTCAGATGTCCATAACAATATTTACCAAATCCCAACTTCAGTGCAAGTTAAACAAAGTGGCATCAGCTTCTGGCCAAAATTATGTCTTTAATTTTTCAATCGTATGAGCCTCTTAAAACTATCTGCAGACATGCTGAATGAGCATAGCATTGAACAGGAGAAAATCTTGGGTGGAGCATTCATACCATCCCATGTGGAATGCCCACCCTATCATAGAATAACATGTGTATAATTTTAAATTAACTTTGCCAATTGTATATTTTTTTTAATTGAAAAGTATATTGGGCTCCATTATTTTATGTTCCCGCTTTTTTCTCTCTTTCTCCTTAAAATTTGGACCCATCTTCTAAAGAAGCATTTTCTCTCTCTTCAAATTCTTGTTGGAAGCACTTTCTGGACATTCCACAACCCAGGAAAACCATAGGTACACTTTAATTTATTAATTTCATCTCTAAATTTTTAAGTGTTTATATTATATAATGGGAAAGTAAAATCACCTTTTATTGTATTTATTTTGTTGATATTAATGTGGGTTGAATGCGTTTTACTATGGGTTTTTAATATGTTAGTATTTTTAATCAGGTTTTCTATTCAATGGAGCATTTAAGTAGTAGAGAAATTTTTTATGAAGAACGCAATGTCGGAATGGAAGTATGTTCTGATGAAGAAGCTTATAATATATGTAACTCATATGCTCTTAGAAAAGGATTTAGTATCCGCAAAGGGCATATTCGAAGATATGCATCAAAAAATATTAAATAACGAGAATTTTTATGTTCAAAGGAAGGGTTTCAAAGGGACGGAGAGTTTCTTGAAGTGAGGAAATATAATAGATAAGAGACAAGAACAGGTTTGCAAATTTATGGTGCATTTTACAGTTGATGGTGGAATATAAAAAAATTTCTCATATCAATACCCATCATAACCACGAACTTGCTAGACCCTAAGAAAGACAATTTCTTGGATCAGGACGTAGGGTGTCTAATGCTCAAGCAGATGTCATTAATGCAATGGTTAATGCCAATATAGGACCAATAAAATCATACTTTTATTTAGCAAATGAGGTTGGTGAAGCTGAAATGTTGGATTAAACAAAAAGGATATGAGAAATAATTTGCAAAGAAGAAAACGTGAAATGATTGAAGCAGGAGATGGACAAACTTTGCTAAACCATTTTAAGTTAAAGCAAAGTGAGGATCCTAACTTTTTCTACTCAATGCATGTGGATCGATTTAATCGGATGACAAATTTATTTATTTTTTGAGAGATAACAGGTCAAAGTTAAAATATGATTGCTTTGGTGATGTTGATACTGCTTTTCGTACTAGTAAGTACAATTTGATATGTGCTCCATTTGTTGGAGTTAACCATCATTGGAAAAATGTTTTATTTGGTTGTTTATTTTTATTAGACGAAACCACTGAATCATTTGTTTGGTTGTTTGAGTCATTTATGGAGTCCATGGGAAATAGACAACCGAAAACTATTCTTACAGATGACGACAAAGCAATGACAAATGCAATTGAAGTATTTTTCCACATACATAACACCGATTGTGCACTTGGCATATTGCTAAGAATGCTATACAACATCTTAGTAGCTATTACGGAAATCTAGAGTTCAAAAGGCAGTTCAATAAATGTTTACATGGGTGTTATAGTGAAGAAGAATTTCAAGTTTCTTGGGATCATATGATTAAAAATTTTGACCTCAAGAGTTACTCATGCTAAAGAAATTGCATTCACTACGAGGAAAGTGGTGTCGTGCTTTTAATTTGGATACTTTTTCAGTAAATATAAGGTCCACCCAAAGGAGTGAGAACACAAATAATATCTTTCATCAAATTTCTACCTAGAAAATGGAACTTGTTAGTTTTGTACACCACTATGAGAAGAAAATAGAGGAAATGCGCTTGGTTGAATTGGAAGATGATTACCGATGCAAAAATGGTGTTCCTCGTCTGTCCATAAGGTGCAGTATTTTAAGTCATGCAGTTAATGTCTATACCCCAAAAATGTTTAATCTTTTTGAAAAGGAGTCGACGGGTTGCATTGGAGTGAGGATGAAAGAAGTGTAGAGATTATGAGCTTTACACATATGAAGCAATTGAAGGTCAACAAAGAGTGCATAAACTCCATACAATCCCCTTGCATTTGATTTTTTTGTTCATGTAAATTATTTCAATCATTGGGGATTTTATGCCGACTTGTTTTAAAGGTGTTCGATTTAAATAATCTCTCTAACATACCAACACAATTCATAATGGCAAAGAAAGGAATTGTAATGACAAAATTGACTTGTCAATGGTGGCAAATGATGAAAAAATTTCCAGATCATTACGCCTTAGTGAGTTGATGCACAAAGGAAATAATGTCTGTAATGTTGCCATGACGTTTTCGGGAACAAAGATTGTCAAAGAAAAGTTAGCAGAAGCAATGAATTTACTTGAAAAAGATGAGGAAACTATCAATGTGTTTCAAAAGTTCAAAAAAGAGGGTGATCAAATACTTGTGATGCTCTTGTTGATGAGCCAAGAATATTAAATTCGGCAACTGTTAAAGCCAAAGGAATAACAAACGCAAGATTAAAAAACATTTTGGAGAAAAGAAAAAGGAAGGCAAAGAAATGTAATAAATATAATAATTTTATTTTTTTACCTCAATTATTACCCTTATTCAATTCTTAAATAATATATCATTTTTTTGTCACTTATAAAGATTAACTTAGAGTCGGAGAAGACAATCATCAAAATAATGGTGGCGCACCTCACCCAATATTTCCTCCTAAGTTGACTGCCTTTACCCCATTTATTCTTCACTTAGCTCCTGGGCGTTCAAATTTTCACCTTTCAAGCATGCTTCAAGACCACAACAATATGTATTACTTGACTAAAGTATTTTTCCCGTTGCATATTATTATTATTGATCAATGAATTATTTTTATGTAGGATCCACGCTATTATAATTTTGATGGTCCTTTCTCAAGTCGAGCTCAATACAAAGTCTTGCATACTTTATTTATGGCTTCTACAGAAAAAAAGATTAATGACTGCATAGTGAAAGTTTTGACATAACACTGGTACGAGCTTTTATTAAACAAAATGCATTTGATGAAGTTCTAGGAAATGTACCAACGAATTTGATCTGTAAATTTTATTTATTAGTTTGTTTACATTTTTCAGGTGATTGAAGTATGATATTTTGTAGCTTAAGTTATTGTAGAAGATAAAAAGGGGCTTATCGTGTAATTATTTTGCTAAATTTCAACATATAAACTGAAATAGACTATGACGATTTTTAGATAATATTAAATATCGTCTTCTTTAATGAAGGTGTTTTTGCTTTGACGCTATTGTATATTAAAAGTTTTATTACTATTTCGTTATTTGTTAAGAACTCTTGCCATATATATGTTAATTTGGCTTGAAATTGTATTCAAGACAACTTCTCTGCTTCTCCACTTTAAAAAGGGATTTCTAGCTCCTTTTCAAAAAATAAAATAAATAAGGAAAAAAATTTAAAAACAGAAAAAAGTAAGACAATAAATATAATTTGCCTACCCATTTTAATGAGTCAAAGGCTCACAAGAAGAGAGAGAAAGACAACCAGTAGAAAGGTCAAAAAAAGTATGCCCATTGTACTTTTTAATTAAAAAAATATACAATTGGCAAAGTTAGTTTAAAATTGTACACATGTTATTCTATGATAGGGTGGGCATTCCACATGAGATGGTATGATCGCCCCACCCATGATTTTCTCATTTAACAGAGATCAAAGGACAGTTTCCTTTTAAGAAATAAGCTGATAAGAATCATCAGCGGCAAAGATTTTCATTTGCTAGCAAGAGTTCAAGCAAGAGGATCCCAAAATAACTCTGATTTTGGAAATCACATTCCAAGGAGAAAAAAATGATTCCCGTCATATCCAAACCTACCCAACCAACCACTCCATCGATGCCGTTCATCTGACCAGCCCCGTCGACCCACACCCACCGGCCTCACGCCACAAATAGCCAGCCAAACCCCACAAACCTCACATGCGGCGGCTGCAGCAAAACCTAGCGCCGCCGCCCAGATCCGAAGGGGACCTGATGACGCTCCGTCCGGCGAAGATGCAGAAGCTCGGGACGACACCAATGAAGGTCGCAGGCGAGGAAGTTCAGATCTGTTGGAGGGGAGTTCGAACCGGATGGTCATTGTTCCACCGAACCCAACGCTCATTCAACCACACGCGCCTGCCCGGCGGCCTGCGCAGGTCATTCCGACCCCGGCAATGCAGGCGCGTGGGAGACGCGCTGATCTGCCGGCGCGTGGGGCGGTGCGTGGGGCCCACGCCCCACTGTCGGAAACTGCCCATGCTCTCCGAGATGCAACGAGACTGTTCAGGCCATTGATTCCACCCTCAGCTGGCTCGTTTGCACGGAATTATGGGAAACAGAATATCGTGATTGGTAATAAGGTGTTTAGTTCACGCTTTACTGTTGAGGCAAAAGAGTTCGCGGTGTCCGTTAGTGATTCAGGTGTTGTTAAGCTATCAGAATGGGGAGCGAAGATATCGGATGCAATTTGCATGGGCCGATTTGGTGCCGTTTGGGTGGTGAATATGGTGGATAAGTTGACGGTTGCGAGTAAGATGGAGGATAGATTAAAGGAGGCGTTGGGGAAAGTGGTGTCAAAATTTCAAAATGCTTTCATTAAAGGGCGCCGGATTTTGGATTCTGTCCTTATTGCAAATGAATGCATTGACTCAAAACTGCGTTTGGGGGTTCCAGGAATGTTATGCAAGCTTGACATCCAGAAGGCTTATGATCGCGTCAACTGGGGATTTGTTTTGTATATGCTACGGCGATGTGGTTTTGGGGAGAAGTAGTGCCGGTGGATTCAGTTTTGTATCTCTACAGTTTCTTTCTCAGTGTTGGTGAATGGCACTCCAGAGGGTTATTTTCGTAGTAGCAGAGGATTGAGGCAAGGGGATCCTTTGTCTCCATTGTTGTTTGTCATTGTCATGGAAGCCTTTAGTAGGATGCTTGAGAAGGTTGTGGGGGAAAGTTTGTTAAGGGGTTTTTTGTTGAGCAACTAAAGGTTTCTCATTTGCTATTCGCAGATGATACGCTTATGTTTTGCGATGCAGATGTTGAGCAATTTAGGAATTTGCGCCGTCTACTCTTATGCTTTGAGGCCGTATCTGGTTTGAAAAAAAATTTGGGAAAATCTGAAGCTATCACAGTAGAAGAGGTCT